AATTTGCGCTACACACCTAAACCCTAAACCCTAAACCCTAAACCCTAAACCCTAAACCCTAAACCCTAAACCCTAAACCCTAAACCCTAAACCCTAAACCCTAAACCCTAAACCCTAAACCCTAAAACCCTAAACCCTAAAACCCTAAACCCTAAACCCTAACCCTCAACCCTAATCCTAAGCCAGGTTTTGGGATGAGTAAAAAACGTTTTAGAGAATACCAGGAATAGGCAAATGATGCGCTTGATGCTGATGGCCATGGCGGCCATGGCAGCTCCTGTCGTCGGCCAGGTAGGGAATTCAGCAACACCTCGATACCGCACAAGTTTGAATACGTTATTTATGTATACTTCAAGCAACGCGATGATGCAAATTCCCTTCATTACTGTTACCGCGTGCACAAGCAATTCTGGACTGACGACGTGTCAGTAAACGACTCATTCTGGCAGTCTGCAGTTGTCTATATTTCACCCCATTTAATCTCGCTATCTTTGTTCAATATTTGATTCGAACAGTCTTTTCTGTTGCGCTACAACCAAATCGATCATGTGTGACAATGAAGGCATAGGTTGGGGATCTGAAAGCTGCGATCCATGCGGCTGCCATGGAGAAGCAGAGACAGCAGCTTCCTCACACTTCCACCATTACTCACCTTCATCCAGCCTCAGATCAAGCCAAATGCTGCACAGTAATGCAATGGCTGTAGTGGAAGTTGGCAGCTGACGTTCCGCAGGTCGCCATGTTCTTGGGGACAATGAATATGCCTCAGAACGGTGACACCCTCGACCTGGGAGACAAGGCGCTCGCATGCTGTCGCGAGAAGCTGTGCCCGAAGTTCAAGAGCGAGCAAGATTGCACGTGGATTTCCAGCGGAGATCTTTCATGGAAGCAGAAGCTGAGCGACGACCTCGACAGAGTTCAGGTGGGCTGTCGATGGGTCATCAATTCTTTCCGGCTTGTGTAAACTTTTGTTGACGTTCGACCAGGTCATCGACAACCGATTGGAACAAATACATGGAGATGACATGGATGATCCCTCAGCCCGAGAGGAGAAGCAAATTCTTCAGGTGATATAATTCTTGTTCCAAATGATCTGCTTTTTCTGTACATGTGCGACTGAACAAGTGCATAGGGCGAAAGACAGAAGATTGAAGACGGAGAACTCCAGAGACTATCGAAAGTTTGACACAGCGACTACACAAGAAGAATATTGATTTTCATTCTTCACAACCTAGGTAGCTCCGCTAACAGCCATGTGCGATGAAGTGCTCGATTCCGATCAGCCGGGGGAAGATCTTGCAGAGGAGCAGGAAGCACGCATTCAGGTGCCCTTATGATCCGACACCCCGTAGCATCTCATACCGTCCTCTCAGTGCATCACAAGCTTTGTTGACATTGCCTACGGAGCGTGCGCATGGCAGGTAAAGGCTGACGCACCTTTTCTGTTGGGTCCTCACCGTCAATCAGGAACAGGAAGGCCAGTGTGTCAGTGTCGTCTCTTCCAAACCCACGCGTTCGTTCTCCTGGAGCTCGACTCTCAGTCTCCTGCTCGTAACTTTGACCTGATGAGTTAATATCATTCACGTTTCTGCAGGTGATCTCGGCAATCCTTGCCATCACTTATTACGCGGCCAAGCCAGCGGCATCTGAGGGGGAGGTGGAGAAGAGCGAGTACTCTTCTTTAGATCAGGTTCTAATCTCTGATTGCCTGGTCCTCTACTAATCAAATCAAAGCTTCCTCCTGAATTGGGAGGTCACAAGTGAGCCCGATCAACATCACGCACTGTGACTAGTTGGTTGTGGTGGGGTTAGGGTTTGCCGATCTCCTGTATCTTTTCTCTTACAATCTTTATGATATTAAAACACGTCACGAGCCTCTTATAAGACGTAGCCAAGGAAAAAGTAAGAGAAGAGCTCAACTCCAAACATCTTGCAGGTATCTGCCACCTTTAGATAGCGAATGAACCAAATCCTCTGCTTCCACTGTCGACATTTGCCTTGTGGGAAAGTTAGCACAGGAAAAGAGACAAAACTGAAAACATACCTGGTGTCTTGAAAACAACCTACAAACGCTCTCTTGACCTGTGGACGCTCTGTCACAGCAGTACAAGTGCAGACAAACACCCTACCTCTTTTGCCATAGAGGTGCTCCCACACACATAAATGTAAGCCCCTTTCTCAATCAGGTCCACAAGCAGCTGTGAATTTTCCCTGACCCTGTTCTGTACGTAAACCTTTTGTTGAGGGTTCTCACGGCTGAACGCAAGGAAAAGGCTGCTGATCGTTTTGTTTTGACACCATCGGTTGATCTCGTCTTCGTAGATGTAATCCTGCTTGCTAGACCTGACCAGCACAGTAAGAAAGTAAGAAAGCATTTTCATTCCAGATTTGCAATCGACCTGCAACCGAAGATCAAGACATTGTGGCCCAATTCGTCTCCTCGTGCACTGCAAGTTTCCAGGTGCTGGCACATTCCCCTCAACGGAGCCAATCCTGGTGTCCAGTCACGCTTCACGCACGCAAAAGCTCCAAGTATCACTGACCTGTTCCTGCTCCAATCATAATGACCGGAGTCCTTGAATCATTTGGCAGCTTGAATGTTGTTTCCTTATGAAAGCTTTCACAGACCCACCGACCTTCGTTTGCTTGAGAAAGTTGGTACATACTCCCTTGAACCTCCTGCCCTCAGGCAAAATGTCGTCTACTACTACAGCGGTGACGTGGGCTGACTCCGGATGAGTGTTGCTTCCCGACGAGATAGAATAGAACCTTGGTTGCAACCGAGGCAGCGATTCAAGCAAATCCTGCCAAAATAATTCAGTAAAAAGAAGAAACTTCAGAAGAAATATCTTACATGCAGCGATAGCTTCACAGAGGGAAACTCACGAAGCAGGTCTAATACATTCCTTCTTCCCTCACATATGTATTGCTGATAAACACTTGCATCGTCTCGACCAGCTATCGTCTCTAAGCGTCGCTTTTCATTGCTATCGATAGCTTTCATTGCCAAGTGCTCGATGAAACTTCTTTTAGGCATGCCGTTGATGTCAACATAGTTGCAAAGCGCTTTCTGAACCGTGCATGGACAAGGAAATGGAGAAGACGAATCATCGTCTACCAAATAAATCCATGAAGACAAACTCACTCCAAGACGCTGCGCGAGCTCTTCCACATCGTGCGGGTCGTTGTCAGGTAAGATTGCAACATGATCACCAGTTTCATATACCAATCCGGAGTTATTCAATGCAAGCTCAATGTGACGGCAAGAACGATCGGTGCACTTATTCAACTCATCATTGCACGTTACTGTCATGTTGACCATGGGATTTGTGTCCAGGGAGTGCACAGAAGAAGATTGTGGAAATTCCATCGCGGTCCTTTCTGACACCACCTCGAGTTTGTACTTGTGTTCCTTCTCACGAATGTCCTTGCGAGATATTTCGGTCTCTACCGTTTTACACTTCTCTTTCACCCTATCGACATCAAAGTGAGCATGCAAGGTCCTCCACAATTTTTCTTTCCACTCTTCAAAATCCTGTTGAATGTCCTTGTCATCATCCCCTAGACCCAACTCCATTATCCTTGTGGCTCCGAGACGCTCACAATGGCTGTCAATTGTTTTGCCAACCGTGTTATAGTTTTCATACTGTGAATTTCCGAGTCCGAAAACAGCGAATTGCATCCCTTTCAGTGAATCTGGATCAGCCTTGTGCACCAGCCATTCAACGAATTCTTTCGCATTGTCGGTGGGATCACCTTCCCCATATGTTGCAGTTACAAAGATTGAGTTAGAGCTATCCAAGGTGTCAACATCATAAGACTGAAGGTCGATGACCTTCACGTCGAACCCGTTCATCTTGCCCTCTTTTTGGATGGTCAACGCAAATTCCTCCGCGGTTCCAGTTTGACTCCCAAAATAGACATCGATCCTGACTTGTTCTGTTGTTTGATCTGTGCTAGCTTCACTACAGCTGTCCGACTCATTGGGGTTGGAGAATGCTTCTTTTATCCGTCGATAATACACAAGGGCAACCAAACTCAAGCCAACTGCACCCGTAGCTGCGGTCAACAAAGCTCCCGGACCGGCTGGTCTAAGATGAAAAAATTGTGCAAGCGAGTGAGGCAGCATTGGTATAAGAGATACGGGTTTGCGAAGTTGAACTCCCTATGCGGCTGATCCGTTGCACAGCTATTATGCGAAGAATCCAAAATAACCGTATCCGGATTCAACGAGTCTGCATGTTGTCGGATCAACGCTGCACACCTAGTAGCAAGATATCAATCTACAAAAATGTTGGAAACAATATCAATTAATAAAAAAAATCCTTCGTCAACCTAAACTTACAAGATGTATCTCCACCTAGAAGCCTAAATGTGACTGAAGGCAAGAAACAAGCGATGAAATGAAAGATCGTGATTGTAGCGGGAGCGTTGCAGCAATTATTGTGAAGACACTTGAATGCGAGGAATTAGTATCAGAGAAATAGCCCTTGAAGTTGATTCAGAGAGACAAAAAGGGAGAGTTGCCATGCACAGTAACAGCAAGAATAGATGGTGAAGACGGTCGGTAGAGACCGGGGCGGGGATAACAGAGAGAGAGGGAGGGAGGGAGGGAGGGAGGGAGGGAGGGAGGGAGGGAGGAGAAAGAGAAGAGAAGAGAAGAGAAGAGAAACACAATATCAACGATGAGCACAAGACGGGCGGGTCATGAGCATCAACCGTCTCTGTGGAGGACTGAGGTGCATGAGAATGCTGAAGTAATGATCATGCAGGATCAGTGGGTACTATGGATAGGTAGGGTACTCTGTCTGACAGGGGTACGGGGTACCAGAGTGTTTTATAGGTGTATGTCAGTGGGTGGAGCTGTAGCTTTCTGTGGGGGTAGGGTTATGAAAATTCTTGGAAAAAGGTGGGTACATGGAACTAGAAAGCACGGGTGACAAATTTTGAATGTCCATAGACTCGAAGGTGGGTGCTAATCCAGTTCAAAATTCGACAACAGGTGGGTAGAACCCCTGGATGTATAATGGAAGGGGTGGATTGGATCCCACAACGGGTGGGTGCATCAAATGGACAACTTGTCGGAGGGACGGGGTACATGTTCGCGGAATAGAGGTGGGGTAGAGGTAGAAACTTTCGAACGAGCACTTTGCTCTGTTGGGGTGGGGTAAGAGTGTCGAATGTTGCTGATGGCTCACTGACCCACTATCCCTGTGATTATTCTTATTATCTCCCCTATTAAGATCGGTGATAGTTGATGGGTTCAAGTGTAACAATGGCTGAATGCCATGGTTGCCATCGTTGGGGGGTAGGGTCAAAGTTCAGATACTGAAGAGCAGCGGGTACCGAAGAGATGACGGATTAGGGAGGGTGGGGTTATCGATTCAAAGGAGGGAGGTGGGGGTTACCAGAATCCGGCGGGCTGAAGGAGCGGTCACTAGAACGCCCAAGAGAAAGAAAGAAGAAAGAAAGAAAGAAAGAAAGAAAGAGAGGCACCCTACCCCTTGATCAAGGTCTATGATCCTTTTACCACCCCCATTCAAGGAACTTGACCGGTGGTCCACACCGGTTTTCGTCAACCCATGCTAGGCCCACGATCTATATCATCCCAACACCACTGGCTGAATCTGACCACCCCACAATGAAATTAGGGGTAGTATACCACAGCAATCTTGTACCTACCCCCCCCGGAATCCTCGGAATTCCCCCAGAAGCCTATACCCAGTGACAGATCTCGCCAAACGGTTCTTGAGCCCAAGACCACCTCCTCACCACCCACCTCATTCAACTAATACATAGGGGTACATCCCCAAGATGAACCAGGACGCCTCTGCTTACGACACATATAAAGCTTCTCCCACGTTGCTCGCGGCACGGCCGGGCCGGGGCTCAACTTACCCCGGGCCGCCGTGGCACCGTACGGTACGGGGGGCCGGGTGCGCAGTGCGGCCCGGCCCGGTCCGCCGGAAGCCTTGAAAATGACTCCAGTGTCACTCTCAGACGTTTTCTGGCCCGGCGGCCCCTGAGGCAGTGCGGCGGCCGGGCGGCCTGGAAGTTCATTCCTTCGAGTCGGCGGCGCCGCCGCCAGCGACGGGGACTGACTTGGCAAGTTTTCCGAAGTTCAGTCCTGCGCGCAGTTCAGTGAACTTTCAACTTTCAAGGTGTCAGTAAGTTTGGGGGACAGCAGCCTCCGACAGGAACAGTGATAGGTTTGGTTCTCGCTGACTTTTAAGTTCGGAGGCTCTCAGTGAGTCTCGCGGCCGCGCCGTTTGGCCTGTGCGACTGAGCCTCGGAGTGTCACGTCAGGGTCAAGCCTGGGCCTCCTCGCCCGGTCGGACTCTCCTGTCGGATTGTCCTGAGTCGTACTGTTTCAATTTTAACTTAACTTTGAGTAGTAAAGGAAGTTCAACCAGCCTGGCGTGACGGCTCTGTGACTCAGCGTCCGACCCGTGAGAGTCACGGTTCGCGGCCCGGCCCGGGCGCGGCCGCGCCCGCCCCCGGCCGCGCGGCCGCCGCCGCCGCCTCGGAGTCCGGGAGTCCGGGTGGCACACTGAGAGTCACGCGGCGCGCCGCGCCGGGCGAATGTAAAAACATCAACGTTTCCCGGGCCGAGCCTGTCGCCACTGTTACTCCTCACTAGGGCCGCGCCTGGCCGCCGCTGCCGCCCGGCCGGGCGCGGCCGGGTTCCGAGCCTCCACGGTCACGCGGCGTCCGGCGACCAAAAGTATAAGCATGTACAGTCAATACTCTTTGGTAGCTTTATACTTTTTTTTTTTTTAAAAGTGTTGGCCCCTGGGAGTGGCTCTTCACAGAGGCGCCATGCTCAACGTAAGTGATTCGTCAATTTCATGACGCCGCTTGCTCTCTGCAAGATCCTCCCTCCTCTCTTTTCCATTCCAGTTTCTCCCTCTTTCCTGCACGCTGCCAGTTTCCCCAACTTGTTTGCTTTGTGCTTGCTTGCCTTGTTTTGAGTTCCGTCCGGGCTTCCATTCAGTGTACGTCCTTCTTATCACCTTCTCCTACTTTTTGATTGCTTGGCAAATATGTTCTCAGTCACATCATTCTTTATCTCTTCTTTTTGCATTCTTCCTCCTATGTTATTTGTCTTTCGACTTGCGTGATGTCATGCATCTGCTGGTTTCACCAAGTCGAGCCACGCTTCTTGGTCTCATCGTAATCTTTCACGTTTATTCGTTGAATTGTTCGATTGTTTGCCTTTTGATTGTCGAGGTAGTGTTTGTATGCTGATCGCATCAAAGAACTAAGAACCTCTTGGTTGAACATGTTGGTGTCAAATTGTAAATGTGTCTACCTTGCCTAACGACAGCTTGTAGATTGTTTCCATCGGAGGAAAGCTCTTCGCCGTTGTTCCTGAGTCCACCATGCTCAACTACCCGTCAGTACTCAATCTGCCTATGATCCCTTGTCGCTGACGTCTATCGCAGCAACTGGTCCGGTGGCCATCCTCCTCTTCGTGGCACCCCCGATTACCCTGTTGGCCATCCCGGCTACTTCAACGGAGTCAATGCTGTGAGTCCGCATTCTAGTGTCGTTCCTTCCTGATCTTCCTCCAGGGTATTGCTCCAGGATACACTGGTGGACCCACCGACACCTGGGGATCCTACTCCATCGCTTAAAACCTGTCTGCAAGGGTGAAATAAATCCTCAGAGCTGTATGGCTGCAATTGATATTTGGGCGATTCGGTTGCCAGGACGCCCTATGAGAAGCTTGTGCCAGTCAATCCATAGGCCGAATCGATGCCTCTTTCTCACCTGATTCTTCTGTCCTGCCGCATCGATGTCACCGTCACACATGCTGGTCATAGTGGCCAAATATCCCGTCTGAGATTTGTGAGAGTCAAGTATCGAAATCGATGCTCGAAGATTAACCTCCTCAGCGGCTAGACTTCTGTCTAGATCAACTGCAAACATGCAACTGCAAACGTGATGTAAGAACGCTTGCAAGTTCCTCAGCTCTCCACAGATTTACCTACGCGCAAAATTTTCGCGTTGCTCCGTGAAGGAGTATTCGGTTGGCCAAAATGTGCCATCAGCAGATCCCTTGCTGAACAGTCAGGAAATAAAGGGAAATGCTCGAACAACAGCAATGGCAGAATAGAGGGAGACATCGACAAGCTTGCGGAATGTTTGACTGCGAGGGAAAGAGACTCCGCAGCCCCAGGTCGATCGCTTGATCTGAAACACAATCATCCCCGCATCAATCAAGTAACCAGAGAAACCTCCAGCAGACGCTGCTTGTCAAAGTCCAACATAGCACAATCATTCTTGTCAGCTATTGCACGGATCTAGGCAGACTTATGATTCACGGCGTAGTAAGAGTAGTGATTCACATCTCCAAGGATCTCATCCAGCAGCCTCACGGAAGTCTGCATTGGAGCTTTCATCTGCATCACACCCTTTTTTAAGTTCAATCCGGCAACGGCAAGAAACTACCTCTCTTTCCTCCTGCTCCTTTGCCTGCAGATACACTCGAGCTCGAACCTGCAGCACGCATGTCTCGTCTCAGTGGTATGCGGAGACAGATCTTTCATAACGACCACAGCATCTTCTCGCGCCTTCGCAGCAGCAACCCTTTCTTCTTGGTTTTCCCTCTCCTCCACTTCGTCCATGTCTTGCGAAGGGTCCACTACTGACCCATTTGCCTTATACGAACAAAACTTCAAATTTCATTTCGCAAGGACAGGAAGACCTTGAGCATTCTCTGAGGGTCCGTGTCTCTTCCCCGTACAAAGAAATATCCCCCGAGTGCTGGCGTGCCGGCCAAGCTCGCTTGAGAGCGAACAGGATCAGCAAGGTAGCACTGAATCGCAATGAAGAAACACCTGCATTTACCAGGAAGTCTGAACTGAAGTTGAAACAATGAAACACACTGAGTTAAAGAAAAGGAATCGCAGGCAGAGAAGACAATTCGTACTCCAAGTCTTGTGGCGGAAGATCATCAGGTGTGAGCATTACCATGTCTGCATTCGTGTTTTTGTCGACATACTCCAACTTGTACCTGATTGTGCAGCCAGCTCAGAGGAACACGAGCAAACATCATGTGCACACTTATCAAGTGCCTTAGAGATGAAACCGTAACAGCAAGGAGCAAGAACATAGCTTGCACCTGGAGAACTCATCAGTCAGTGCATTCATTTACACGTGAAACATGCCTGCTGCAAGGCATTTGGAATGAATCAAATCTGTAGCAGGCCCTTGTACGAGTCTTAGACCATTCAATAAGCAAGATCAAAGATACCGCAAGCATGTAACCCAAGCCCTACATCAAAAGCTTCATGAAATTCAGAGACTTCGAGGTTCTTGACTTTCACATTCTTCAATCTGCATGTCCTTGAGAAAGGAATCCTTCCAAGTTCAATGCCATTCACCCCATCAGATCCGATCGTTTCTGGGCAATGTCACAATGCGCCCCCTTCTTCTCAACGATGTATATCGTCGCATCACTTCGCAACGTTGCAAGAACCTGTACAAGATGTTAATTGCCAGCCCCGCTCACTCTCTCCCCACAAGCCCAAGATGCCCTGACCCTCCACAGAAGTCGACTGCAACTCCTCCTTGAGGCAAGAGCCCATCTGCCCAAGACAAGCTGAGAACAAGCATGAGATGAAATTTCGGATGGCAGGCATCCACATGCTCTTTATCTGCATCTTCTTCCTGTTCGCTCGGCTTTCTGGAAGTCTTCCATGCATTGTAACCCCAGGATCCAGCTCTGCGTGTAGCGAAGACCAGTCCAAGAAGTCGTCGCTCTCGGTAAATCTCCGCAAGACCACTTCTTCAAGCGTTCTTTAAAGGTATAAGCCAACGTGATGCCAGCTAAAAGCAAACCTCGTTGAGTTTGATGCGAGAGTTGGAAGAATCTCGACGATCTGATCAAAGTATCTTTGTCGAATCCTTGTCCTGAAGTTGCAAATGTCTCTTTCATTACACATCGATCGAACTCATGTGTCAATTCAATATCGTCAACCTTGCCTCCTGAGAGGAAGTACAAGCTTTCACCCCACAATCTGACCGATACATATGTTTCTCCCTCCCTCCCTCCCTCCCTCCCTCCCTCCCTCCATCCCTCCATCCATCCATCCCTCCATCCCCTACTCCTACCACCTACGCCAACGGCCGTGTTTCTACTCCAAGCTCTCGCTCACCTTCGCGCTTTCAGCCGCCTTGACCCGCTGTTCCTCGGTGCCATTGCGGCCACCCGACAGCAGATCGGGGGAAGGAGTTTTTTTTTCACCCCACAAATATCGACGAGCTTGCGATGCGAGCATGTGACATGGGAAGGAAGCGTAGGGTGACTCAGAGGAGGCTAGGAGGCAAGTACCAGGGAGCCGGTAGAAACAAAGGAATAGATGAGGATGGCTGCGAGGGGACGGAGTGGAGCAGGATGAAATGGTAGCAATGGAGAAGAAATTCGAACCAGATAGAACAAAGATCGTTGAGTGAGAATAGATGAGGCGTTGACGATGAAAGTTGCCGAACTTGGATGATATTTCAAAGACGCTGATTACGGCTTCGTAAGAATCACAGCTGACAGCTCAGGAGCTCCAACGAATCAGTCACGCAAGTCTTCGCACTCCTCGACTCGTATTTTGGAACCTCAGCATTGAGCCAGAGATAAGTTTTACTCGCATAAGGGAAAAAGTGCCTCAAGCAGGAGAAAGCAGGAACAAGCAGGACCGTCATATCACACAACAACCAAAGAAGTGCACATAACAATTCCGCTGGATAAATTGAGAATGATTTACAATCATAGAATTCGACACGAAAAATTGAGAAGAGAAAGCTGAAGTGGCCTTGATCGCTCCTGATCTAAATTGAGGAGGCTCGTTAGTGAAGTGGAAGGCATGAAAATGCAGGTTGTTTATCTGCCGCCCTTCTTTCGCTCCCATCTTATCATGCCGCTGTATGTGTGCTTTGACCTTTCATTAAGCACTTGATGTGATGCCGGTGGTGTTGGTACATATAGCTTGATGTGATGGGTGGTATTGGTACATATAGCTTGATGTGATGCCGGTGGTGTTGGTATAGCTTGATGTGATGCCGGTGGTGTTGGTACATATAGCTTGATGTGATGGGTGGTGTTGGTACATATAGCTTGATGTGATGGGTGGTATTGGTACATATAGCTTGATGTGATGGGTGGTGTTGGTATAGCTTGATGTGATGCCGGTGGTGTTGGTACATATAGCTTGATGTGATGGGTGGTATTGGTACATATAGCTTGATGTGATGGGTGGTGTTGGTACATATAGCTTGATGTGATGGGTGGTGTTGGTACATGTAGCTTGATGTGATGGGTGGTATTGGTACATATAGCTTGATGTGATGGGTGGTGTTGGTATAGCTTGATGTGATGCCGGTGGTGTTGGTACATATAGCTTGATGTGATGGGTGGTGCGTGCGGTTGGTACATATAGCTTGATGTGACTCGATGATGGGTGGTGTTGGCCAGTGGTATAGCTCGCTACCTGTGAAATCTCCGAGCAGGACCTGCGATGCGATCAGACGGCTCGACTCAGTCTCAGCTCATCTGATCGTGATCGGACTCCATACATACCGCACTCCCCAGTACCGCACTCGGCGGCTCCCAGAGTCCGATCCCCAAAAATGACTGGTGAGTCCGCCTCAGACTTTTGTCCCTTTCACAGAACATCGAGTCAGCGCCGCGGAACCAACGGGAGTAGGGCCAACGGCTCAGCGGCAATGGTGAGACGAGCGATTGCGCGGGATGAAAGATGGGGACGGACTGAGGGAGGGAGGGAGCGAAGAAAGGAAGCGGGGAAGAAGATAGGACGTACTTGAAGGGACTGACACGAACTTGAACAAGTGGAGAAAGAAGTTCCGATTTTGAATAGCTAGAAGATATTTCAGGATTGAAATGTGAGAGGATCCAGGGAAGGCAGGGGAGAGAGCACAATAATGCAGCAAGAGGAAAGGAAAATGAGAATTCATTTCTTCTACACTGATTCAGGGTATTTCGGGTCCAAAACAGATGGTTCATGTCGAATGTGGGTATCAAGGAAGAGGGAGAAGGAGATAAGGAGATTCAGAGCCGCGAGATCCAGCTCAGATACGACTTAGACGACAAACAAAGGCTGCATGAGATGATGCAGCTAGCAGAAAGACTGGAGGACTATGTTTAAAAGAAATCAAAGAGGACAGATGTGACATGGTTTTATGACTGTTGGTCCGCAGACCTCCATCAAGGATGCTATTAAGAACTTTGTGAGTTAAAGGTAGTAGGATCCTTATCAAGGCTAACTGATGATCAGGAAACAAAATGGAACTGTGTTGCAAGTGAGGAAAGCAAAGTATTGCTTTATGGGCAACTGCCTCCAGTCGTGAAGATGGACAACACTCTTGGAACACTAAAAGCTTGCAAGCACCTCTCACTCTCTTCAAACTGCATTGAAAAGATCGCTGGTCTCAAAGGGCTTGGTGAGTTGATTCTCCTGTTCTTCTGAGCTAATCTTCTCATCTTTGCAGAGCAACTAGAAGTGTTGTCTTTAGGTCGAAATCAGATTAAAAAATTGGAAGGATTGGATGACGTTGCATCTACTCTAAAGGAGCTGTGGATCTCATATAATCTTTTGGACAAATTGAATGGCATAGAGAAGTTAACAAATTTGACAGTAGTCTACATGAGCAATAACCTGATTGCAAAGTGGACTGAATTTGATAAGTTTGTAAGTTGAAAGAACTTTCTTTTCCTCCCTGACCTGATTGCAGAAAGAGTTGCCCAACATCGAAGAATTGCTGTTTGTAGGAAACCCATTGTGGGAGGTGCATACCAAATCGGACGACTATCGGATCAACGTTGCCGGGAGAATCCCATGGCTGAAAAAGCTCGACGGTGTTCCAGTAGATGACGATGAAAGAGAAGGAGGGAAGGCTCTTGGTTTGTAATCTCTGTCTCCCTGTCTCAGTAAAATCATAATCTCACTGATCATCAATTGAGATATGTAGGAGCAAAACTTGATGGTTGAAGCCTTTCAAATCCATGCGCACAATAGATGACTGGTGTAACAATATAACATTTTACTCTTTCTTACATCAGAACAAGTCCGTCACACTATCATCCGCCGTTGCAGCATAAGACAGCTTCTCAGTTCCCCAAGGGTATGACGTGAGAATAACAAGAACGTGACTTCTACCCACGGTGATCTCCGAAACATGAAATTTATGGAACTTGGTGACCTTCTTGGGCTCATACAAATGCATTTTTGCTCCAAAGATCGAATCTATTTGTGGGCCTTCTCCCCAGCACCACAAACCGTTGTCGTTAGAGACCGCAAACGTGCAGGTGGGTCCGCATCGAAGTTGTCGAAAACCATCAATCTCGTTTTGATGTAGCGAGATCACCGCTTTAGGCAATAACGATTTCCACGTGCCATAAGTGTTTGAACCAAGAGTGGAATACGTCCTGAACCCTTTGATCTCGTCGAACTTGTACCCTAGTTGTCCTCTTGTTCCACTTCCAAACGTGTAAATAATACTTTTTCCATCAATGCAGGCAGTGTGATAGTCGCCACAAGAAACCTCTTTGACTGCTTGCAACGTCTCGACTTTCTTCGGATATAAATATGATCTTTCATCTCCATGGCCAAGCTTTCCATCTTTTCCGTTTCCGCAGGTGTACAAGGAGTTATCTGAAGTAAGGAAACAAGTATGCTTTGAACCACAGGATATTGTTCGAACAGAAACATTCGCCAAGTGCTCTACCTTCCTTGGGAAATGCTCATCGTCGCGAGAAGAATGGCCGAGTTGACCGTCGCTGCCGCATCCCCACGTGAGTGCCTGTCCATATCGAACGATACAAGCGCAATGTCGTTCACCGCAGAATATCTTATCCACAACATATCCTGGTACCGAGAGCGAGTCGATGACTTGAGGGCTGCTTTTTGAGAGCTCGTCGCCTTGAGCCAGAACTCCATGTCTTCCCTCCCCGAACACAAAGATCTCACCCCTATCCGTAAGAGCCATCGAGAAATTGTATCCCGCTGCTACCTGGACACATTTTCCATCTGTTTTTGCCGTAGGACCAAGACTACCAAGATAATCGCTTGGCCCATCTTGCCGCAAAATTTCTACGCTGATCATTCCTGACAGTTCATCGTTCACCCCTGGAATTGCTGAACCTGTTTGGATAGAGAAAAACCCTGACAGCTCAACTTCACCCCGTTGAAAATCTACTTCTGAAGTGAAACGACCTAGCTGGCCGTGTTTGTTTTGTCCCCAAGTGAATACCTTGCCATCGGAGAGAATCACAGAATGGGCAGATCCACACGCCATGTCCTCTACTCGCAAGTCGAAGGTCTGCTGCACATCTGTTAGAGAATGGTTCATCATTTGTTCTGACACCCCAAGCTGTCCAAAGTCATTGTCCCCCCAGGCCACCAACTTTCCTGCTGTCATCACCGTGAGAGGCTCTAGCGAATACTCGCCCCATCCCGCTAAGTTTTTGGCACGGACTCTGACGTCATGCAGGATGGATCCTGCGGGAAGCCCTTGCACTGTACACCTAGCAAACCACAGTCAGCTCTGACATGTTGTAATGCGACTAAAAGAAACAGAAAAACAGCGACACTCACGTGCTCAGTTCCTTGGATACTGAATGAGTGTCCGCATTCCCACTGTCGTCAAGCTTAAAGTTGATAGCTAGTTTCTGTCTCTCCTCGTCTTCGTAGATCAATTCATACCCTGTCAGGTCAGATCCATTAGAGAATGGTGTGCGGAAACGAACTGTTACTGAGTCAACTGTGGTTTTCACTGCAATGACTTCCGTAGGACGAGTGGGAGGAGCAGCTCTTGTAAGTCCATAGGCCGGTGAGCTCACCCATGCGCCCCAGCCACTCTCATTCTCCGCGCAGACAGAGAACATGTAGGCAGTTCCAGGTTTCAGTCCAGTGACGACATACCTACAAACCTCACTTCCTGTCTCCAACTCCACGGTCGAGCCATCTTTCCCTGGTTGATAGACTTGAATCTTGTAATTCTTGACGGCAGCACCGTTCTCAACAGATGGTTTGGACCACTTGAGGTCCGCTGAATGATCAGTGCAGTCGGTCACTTCAGCCCAATCGACCTGTCCTGGTGGAGCAGGCAACGAGCGAGCCTGGAATGGTGGCAGCGAGGCCATCCCCCATCCTCCTTCGCTGCGGCCCTTGACAGTGAAGTCATGAACCAAAGTTCCTGGATTCAGTCCTTTCACGAGGATCGATGTCGTGAATCCGTCAACTATTCTTCTCTTGGGCTTCGAGTCTTCAATCTTATAGAAAACCTCATACCCCATAATATAGATCTCACTCTTGGGCATATCCTTTGGCCTTGGAGGTTCATCCCAACAGAATTCTATTGAGTGTGGTGTCTTGTCTTTAACTTGAACATTGCTTGGAGCTGGTGGCGGTTTGGGCTTGAAGAAATCTGTCATTTGTCTTTCGATTTGCAAATGCAACCACAACACCGGAAGCTACCAAAAGCACAAAGACAAGCGGAATGGATTCAAACGAGCACTGCTCACCATAGATTTGTGGGAAGAACAAGATACTGAATAGCACAGCGAACGAAAGACTAAGACGAAGATTCTCTTGATAAGACGAAGATGGTCTTGATGAGACAAACGATGATCTTGATGGTCATACACCAAAGACGATCCTGATAACACGAAGATGATCTTGACAGCTCAAATGAGCGATGTGGCACTCCTTCGGTCTCGCATAGTGGCCAGCCGAACATTGCACTATCGAGCCCGCCGCAGGTGAATACTTATTAGATTATGAGGACAGCTAATATATATAGTTATGCCTACTAGATGAGAATTTGCTTCGGATTCCTACCCTGACCACCCCCGTTTTAGCAAGGACCCACCCCGTGATCGAGTTTTACCGCCCAAAACGAAGTTTGTGGCTTCAGTTATGGCGGAGTGAGAGACGATGGCGTGGTGAATATGAAGCAGACAATAAGAGCAAATGATAGGCAGAGAGTGAGCTCTCGTGATCTAGTCTGACTCTCTTCTTCTCAATAGATGTCAGCGAATGATGTTATACAGAAAGGAGAGATGGATGAAGGGAATGCTCGAAATGACATCGAGGAGGTTCTTATGGATTCGATTGTGAACTCCAGTTTCATGACAAAGTTGCAGTCAAACACAATTTCATCTGATAAACATGATGATGCTTATGAAAATGAAAATGAAAAGTATGGCGCCTCAGGTAAGTAATTTCAAAACGCTTTGCTTCGTCAAAATCTCTGCAAGGCTACGAAGATATCAATACCGAAAAGAAAAATTTTGAGGAAATCAGTCAATCCATCTCTACAAGTATCAAGTCCAGGCTCCAGACTATGGTGTTAAACTTTGTTTATCATGGATTAGAAATCTAGCTTTTTAAACCAAGAATGACAGTTTCAGAAAATCGAAGAATTCTTTCACGAAAGTTTGGACAAGCAAGATCGCCATTCCCAACTACTGAGCTCAAATGTTGAAAGTCGCAAGGGTATCTAAACATGAATTGACTTTCTGATCAGATGGAGCAATTGGTGCTGCTGAGGCAAGCGAATGATGAAGAAGAATCACGACTTTCTCTTGCAATCTCACACTTCGGTCAATTATTTCGGCAATGGTTGTCTTGTTGACATAACGTGCAGATCAAACATGGATGAGCTTCAAATCACAAGGAGGTGCATGTGTTGATGTTTGAGTTGTGGCGTTCTAATTCGCTGCTGAGTAAGATATTCCTTGCGTACAAGACGAGGGCAGCATGAACCCTGTTGAATGATGGCTTGTCAGAGCTTTGTGAAGGTTCCCTTCACAATGCGTCTTTATGATTAGAATCATCCCGAAGCAACAAACGAGACTCCTGTGAGCACCCGGAGCTTGTCATGATTGAGAGTTCGCCTCATATCTCTGGTTCTCAGCTTGCTTTTCCTGAAATACTTCTGGATCAATATTTCTAGAAACAAGGTGTAAACGAAATCCTACCAAAATTTGATCAGGTGTCATTCTTCCCTTGTTCGATGTCACTGCCCCAAGCCATGAATTCGATGCACAACAGTGCATGACTCATACCAGTAACTTCCATCTCTTGCCCCGTTTGGTCCACTTTCGCAGCCACGCTGAGAATTCCGTTGCTGTCCACCTTCATGTTCACTTTGATCGTGACCTGCTCTTCTTTCAGCAGGCCAACAGGTCAGGATCTGAGTCACCTGCCCCCGTGGACGCGGTGGAATGTCGGTGACTTCGAAGACTCCAAGCTTGACATTGTCGTCGAAGAACTCAGCCTCGCCTGTCCCAACCATAAGGAACGAGGGCAGATGTGGCATGGCTACCTTCGCATATTCGCAACGTGATGCACGTCTGGTCGTCCCTGGAGTTTGCAAAGCACTCGGTGTAGGAGACGCCCTCTGAGCTACTGAGTGAGAGACTTGAGAAGCCGGACAACAAGACCTGGAGGGATCGGAGTACAAGCATTGATCACCGGCGTCGCAAATGACCTCGACCTAATTGGTTTCACCTTGGTGCAAGGCTCAGAAGATATTTTACCTGTCACGATGATTCGCTGTAGCTATGCACAGTGGTCGTGGAACAACGTCTATCATGTCTACAGTCCTCGAGGCCTGGCAAGAACAATCATCATGTCACGCGAGGATGCAGAAAAACGGAACCTCAATGGCAGCGCCGATCACTATTGCCTCATCCTAGGACAACTTCATCAGGCATTATCTTTGGTACACGTGTGCCTCACTGGGTTAATTCTCCGACAAAGTTCCGTCCCGGGGAACATTTCCTGTCAGACAGCACTCAGCTACTCGAATCTTAAGAGAGGAACTGTGAACATTTACCTGAAGCATCTCCTGTACCCTCGGGATTCGCGAAGATCCCCCGACCAACAGAATCTGAGGTGAAAGGCGTCAAGCAAGAAAGCTCATCGTCATTGCAACCTTGTCGATGTCTGTTCGCTCAATCCCACCATGCACTTTATGCAGCGCTCTATCAATCTGCAACAAGAAGGTCAGCAGAAGGGGCTGAGGTTGCACCTCCAATCGTACCGGGTCCTGGAGTTTGGCAAACACAGGCTGTGCTATCTCCTCGAACTAGACAAAGCTCAATGCTGATGCACAGAAGACGACGTTGAGGTCTTACTTCCTTTCGCGTCAGACTCGTCTCAAAGTCGATCTGAAAAAGATTAGCAGGGGAAGAGCAAGCAACGCGGCAGGTGCGCATGAGTCTCACCCCGTCGAACATGTCATCTATGCACATGTCACTCTCCATGACTCTTGACAGCTCAACTTTCAGTTGCGCACACGCCTGCATGCCGTCAATCGCCCTCGCTCAGTGCTCATGAAAGTCACCTGAGTCAACTTCTTGTAGGCCTTGAGACGCTTCGCTTCGTCTGCATGCCCTTCCAGATCCACTCCTGCCAGGTCTGTTAGAGAGGAGAAGCAAAACACGACGACGAACCTGTCTTGGCTCGGAACACCTTGACGAAATGCTGCACGAGAAGAGCGTCGATATCTTCACCTGCGCTGAGCCAGTTACCTCCTACTTGACTCGTAGGAAATGAGCTGCAGCCTCACCGCCAACTTGCATGTCCCCGTCGGTTGACCTCACCTTGAACGACATTCCTGATTGGCATCGAAGTTACGACGAGACGTCAGCTCGCGAGGACATACCGCTTATCTTCATGATCGTCACGTCCAGTGTCCCTCCTCCGAAGTCGAACACGAGCATGTTGTGCTCGGCTACCGCCTCCTCCAAGCTGCCTTCAGGGTCTGCAGTGTCAGGGTTTGTGTTCTCAGCGTTGCTGGCTGCTTCTTCCGCTGCCGGCGAGGCTTCTGTGGAGGTTTCGATCTTGGCAAGAGCAGAGACCGACTTGAGGATCGGGTGCTCGGGCTGCGAGGGAGGATGACAAGAGGGCAGGACGCGAGCAGCAGACCTCAAGCACTCCAAACGCGAGGGCAGCAGCGGTCGGCTCATTGAGTATCCTCCGGACCTTGAGGGCTGTCAGAGGAGGAGCAGCGAGGAGGGGAGCAACCTCAAGGCCAGCAATGAGCCCTGCGTCTCTCGTAGCCTGACAGAAGCGTCAATTGTCACTTGATTCCATGTGTCCTACAAGAAACAAGTCGATACAACATGATTTGAAACATGAGTTCGATGCAAGATGATGTCAACATGGCTCACTTGTCTTTGAGAATCGCTGAAGTAGGCAGGGACGGTAATGACTGCCTTGTCCACAGCTCTGCCAATGTATTCTTCTGCAATTCTACCAGAAATTCAGCGGGAGCGAGATGAACGATATAGTGTGGACAACCTCTTGAGGTAGCTGAGAATGGCTGCTGCAATCTCCTCGGGGCTCACGATCTTGTCCTCATCCTCCACCTGATCAAGAGACGTCAACAAGACTCAGCATGAGTAACGGAGATGCCCAACTACCTTGATCCCTATCGCAGCATTTCCGTCCTGGTCCACAACGTTGAAGGGCCAGTGCAGGGCTGCCTTCTCCTCCTTCCGTCCTCCCGTCATGTTTACATAACCCGCTCTTCATGCTCACGATCAAGTCTTGAGAGAAAGGACGTCCGATGAGCCTCTTTGCATGATACACAGTTCCGTGTATGTACTTGCCTGTGAGGAAATGAGAGCAGGCAGCTAGGAGGGAGGGAGGGAGAGGGCGGAGGGGGGGGGGGGGAAGGTGGGAATATGACAAGAGACGTTCACCTGCTGCTCGTTCCGCTGCTTTACCAACTCGTCTAGAGTTGGAGCTGCAGTAGGTCACCCAGGAAGGAGTTGTGTTGTCTCCTGACTCGTTGGCAATGACGTGGACCTGCGAATCTTCATGATGATCCTCCCGCCAACGAGACCAGCGCCATGCACCTGAGTCCCGTCCCATACCGCCACAGACGACCTGCCCCTTCCGTCAGCGCTACCTGCCAATCAGTCTCAAGCTACCACCTTGTTGTGCCGAGGTCAATGCCGATGGTATCGCAGTAACCCATCTGAACATCGGCTCAGTGATGCTGGAGCTTCATGCGCGTCGTAGACTCTCTTCGCCTCTTCTGTCTCTCGTCCTTCTGCTAGCATCTTGAAGCTCTGCCTGCCTGCCTGCCTGCCTGCCTGCCTGCCTGCCTGCCTGCCTGCCTGCCTGCCTGCCTGCCTGCCTGCCTGCCTGCCTGCCTGCCTGCCTGCCTGCCTGCCTGCCTGCCTGCCTGCCTGCCTGCCTGCCTGCCTGCCTGCCTGCCTGCCTGCCTGCCTGCCCCCGTTCCTGCAGCTTCTTGCTTCCTACCTTCGTCGCTTCTGTTATGCATGTTCCCCTCCGCTCCCTCCCTCCCTCCCTCCCTCCCTCCGCTCTTCCCTCTCGCTGTACTGGCATGGAAATGAATTCATCCTCTCAGGTTCGCCTCAGCTCTTAGCAGCCGTTGAGATAGGAGGGCAGGAGAGCAACCAAGGCGAGGGCGTCCAGGAGCAGGACGAGCAGGAGCAACCAAGGCGAGGGCGTCCAGGAGCAGGACGGGCTGGAGGAGGCAGGAGGAGGAGACGCCTGTTAGTTCGTCAACTGCCATGTGCTCTCGAAGAACAGTGAGCGCCTCTGCGATGATTTCAAGCAGAAAGACTGACGAGCAAGTGACAGCTGGACGGGAGACTGATCGAGAAGTGCTGCGAGGTAGGAGACGAGCAATGGAAGGAAGGGGCCTGGGTCAAGATAGCAGAGGAGTTTGAGAATCATCCCAACAGGATGCAACTCAAGGAGTTTTATGGCAAGTATGGCAGGTTAACAAGAAGATATCACGGGTGATCGAGATGATTTCCCGCACTGTTCGTTGAACCTGCTCAAGGTGCTGGTGTGTGAAGTGGCTGGATGAAGATGAAGCCATCGCCCAGGTGCAGCATGGAAGAGGAGAGGTCGTGGGAGCAGGTGACTGGTACCGCCAGGCTCTCGGGCAGAGGTTTGAGAAACCAGGGGCGAGGTCGCTGTGTAAGCTGGGCAGCGAGTACCATGATACGTGGTTGTGCTATGTGAGTGCGGAGGAGCTTGCTTCTTTGTCTCATACCACGAGGAAGCAAAATCAGTGAAGACACTTCAATCGTCAAGAAACGGATGGACAGACAGAAAGATGTAGATTGTGTAGATGACTATGACGATGCAACTATGAAGAATGATGGTAGCAGTGAATTACGTCATGTTCATCCTGTAACAACTGATTGTTGACTTGCAAGCCTGAGCAACTGCAGGCTACAGGAAAGAGAACAAGGAGAGCTGAGTGAACCTCAATATCCTCTTGGCCCTTCAGTTGCTCCCTTATCTGGGCTGTCGAGACGAACAGTGATGGCATGGCACAAGTGCTGTGGAGAGCGATAGAGGATTCTTACAGACAACTTCTCATCTTCAGGATATTGATATGTTGAAAATCATATTGAAATGAAAATCTTTTGCAAAAGTCGGAGGTCTGTTCAAGTTTCTTTTTGCTTTACTTGCTCATTGTCATGTTAACATTGTTGATACTCGTCCTTTCGATACCATTTGACTCTGTCCATCACCTTCCACCTTCTCTCTGCACAAATGCTTCCGCTTCGATATTTTCACAAGCATGGGCTGACTTGCTCAGTTAACTTTCTTGTTTGGATCCCATCCCTTCTTTCTCCGTCCCTTACTCCCAACCTTGATCCACGCTTCCATTCTTTCTTTCTCCTCTATCTCTGCAACTGCATCTGATCTCTGCCTGACTTTCTCCTCTTTGACTTCACCATCCAACTTCCTCTTTATTCTTTCACTTTATCTTGCTCCACTTTTCGCAATCTCTCCATGGCACAAGCGCATATTTACATTCTGCCATCTTCTCCCTCCACTTTCCTGCATACATCGTGACATCATCACTCCATCCAATCCATTCCCTATCATATCTTCTCTTTGCATTCTAACTTCCCTTCATCATCTTCATCTTCCGTTCTTCCCTGTTGAATGTTTTGGCGGCAGTGGGCACGTGCGGGGGGCTCCAAACTTCCTCGAACAACCACCGATTTGAATAATTTCACTTAAATTTTCGAAACTTGTGTTATCAAATTTCAAAACTTGAATGTAAAAGTAAAATATTTAAAATTCCCGGTCCAAATTTCCCCCCATAATACTGACCCGTCAACGGAAATCGCAATCTCGACCCCTGAAACGCATGCAAGGGATGAGCAAGCAGGGCGGCAACGTGGAGGAGGAGGACGAGTGGGAGGATGAGAGCGATTGGGTTGACGTCAATCAGAAGACGCCAGCAAGGTCTGTCCTCCTTCCCCTCCTGCTTGTCCGCCTCCTGCTTGTCCGCCTCCTGCATTTCCCCGTTGTCTCAATCCTCGCCCCCCGCTGTCTTCCTTGGTTGGAGGAACGCGTTAAAACTTTGCCTTCGCCTTTTGGAAGCTGAATGTGCTGCAGGCAAGAACGATATCTGCCCATTGGATGGAGGATTGCCGTGCAGCTGGATGGAGAGGGCGCGTACGTGATTCATTACATCTCCAAGGACGGTAAGAGCATGTCGGACATGAACAAAGTCGAGAAATACTTCCAGAAGCACCCGGAGCTTGACCTGGAGTCTCTCAAGCAGTACTTTGACTTCTCTCAAGAGTTTGCTTGCCGCGCGTTCCTTCTTTGCATGGACATGTCCCTAGTTGACTCGACGGGGACTGCGGATGTGAATGCCGTTCTGAGAGCATACTTCGATGCGAAGAACAATGAGGGAGAAGGTCCAGACACAACCAAGGATGAGATCATTGCCAGGGCCATGCAAGCGGCATATGATCACAGCATGCAGATGGAGAGCATGGCGTACATGCTGAGATTTGGCGTGCATGGCAACGAGCAAGGGGATGGCGGCTCAGGAGGAAGTGACGACGAGGAAGACTTGGAGGATTCCTATGACTCTGCGGATGAAATTGGAGATGTTGCGGCAGGAGGATGGAGGAGGAGAGAGGCGGAGCAGGAGGCAGAGACAGCACAAGATGACGACATTAACTGCTTGGAATTGAGAAGCTTGCAAGAGAGCGAGGAAGGTCACTGCCCCGTCTGTCAGGAGGAGTGGAAAGTAGGAGACACCCAGCGCGTACTTCCTTGCAATCATCGCTTTCACAACATGTGTATAGACCGCTGGCTGAAAGGGCACAAAGCCATGTGCCCTCTCTGCAAGAAAGATGTCCGTGAAGATTGGGAGGACGAGGAGGAGGAAGTGTGGGACCCTTTGCAAGGCAAGTGGACTTCAATAGGCTCCAACAAGTCTCACAGCGAAGGATGACACAGCTGTGAAGGATTTGTGAACGTACCACCGATGTTCTCGGAAGATTTTCCCAAGCAAAACCTTGAGCAAGTGTGATCACAATTGTTTTCGACCATGGAGATAAATTTGAGCAACATGAATGACGTTGGTATTACAATCGAAATTCTTTTTCTCATAGCAAGTACCAAGAAATAAACATACGGAGAATGGATTTGTTTCTTGTATTCCATGAGACAAAAAATTAGGCCTTCATCTTCGCCGCCTCCGCTTCCTCCTCTGCCTTCTTCTTGGCACGAGCCGCACGCTTGCCAACAAGGCCAGCGTCTGCTCTTGCCTTGCGCAGCGTCTTGTATACTTCCTTTCCAAGCTCCTCCTGCAAGACAAGTCACACAAAGATAGTAGGACGAGCATTGCTCCATGCAAACTAACCTTGGTGGGAGTGTATGATACAATGCTTGGCTTGGGCTTAACAATGGGCATAACGTCACCGATGAGCTGCTCAGCCTTGGCGCACTCCTCCTTAGATGAATCCCCAGTAACAGGCTTTCCACGGGTCTTTCTGGGGAAGACAATCAACTTCGCCTTGTACTCCTGAAGACGCGACACGTTCTCCTTGAGCGACTGCTCGGAGCGGTTCTTCCTGCGGAAATCAACAGAGATGCCGATGGTGAGGGCCTGCTTGCGGGAAATGCCAGCCTCCTTCAGCTCCTCCAGAGTGAAGCCCTTGCCAGCGCGCTTCTTGGAGTTGTAGCGGATGGTAGGGCAGTGGACAACTGGGCGGAGGAGTCCGTTGACAGGGCGGGGGAACACACTCACAGCCTTGGCAAGACGAGCTTCCCTTCGCCTGTGCTTGCGAGCAGCCTGGTTGTGCCAAGTGACAATGCGTCCCTTGTGGGCAGCACTGTCATGCCAGTGCTTGTGGAAGTGGTTATTCGGGATCTGGAGGCGGAAGTTGGGCATCCTGAATCACCTGGCGGATCACAGTCAAAAATCATGCAAACTGTTCACTATAAGCATGAAAGCGCAAAATTGCAACACATGTGAAAGATCGGTTACTTGTTTCTTCATGCAAGAAACAAGGCAAGAAACAAATACAATAAGCCTGCACATTTAACACTAAAAGCTCGTGCGGGACATCGATCTTCCGTGCAGAAAAAGACATCAACACTTCAGCAAACAGTACAACAGATCAAGATCAAAACATCTTGATTGTAACTATCATGCCACCATGTGTCATCCTGCATTCAAAGCAACTCCCAACCGCAACCCTCACATTTCTTGATTCTGAATCACATTGCTCATGTCAAGGTGCCGAATTCAAAGAGTGAGACAAAGATTTTGATCGAGACTACACATAAGAGCAAGATCATCGTGATATGCTGTTCTTGGTATCAGTGTATGTAACAGGAGCTAGCATCTCTCGTGACATGCGCGCGGGATGTAAAGCGTTCGTCTGCCATACCTGCTGCCTGCCTCCTGCCGGCTCGTGCTGCCCTAAAAAAAAAGCCACGAGAGAGAAGGGGGAACCATGGGGGTGGGGGGTGGTAGTTTTGATAAATGGCGACATCAAAATCGGGGGGTGGGGCTGTGGGGGTGGGGCAGAATCTTGCGGTATGAGGGCCAAAGTTCAAGTTGCCAAGGCCACCGGGTGCTGCTACCCCAGTCCCAGTGATTGGCCGAGGCCCTGAAATCATCGCCCTCATCCTCTCAACCGTTGGCGCGCGTCGGCAGATGATCAATGGCGAGGAGGAAGGAGAGGAAGGATTGAAGTAGGAAGCGGGGAGATGAAGAAGAAATGCCGACTTGGACCATTACAATGAGTATGATGAATTAAGTAGAAAGACTCAGCTGCGAGGGCAAGAGAAAGCTCTGAGCAATTTGGGAGGACATCGATGGTTGGCGAAGATCAGGATCTTTGGCAGAGATAGTCTCACGACTGTAGCTTGGAAGAGGATCCAACTATAAGGCTAGGGCACAATCTCTCAATGTGACATACATTTCGGCAAATATTTCTTCGAGGGTGGTGGTGTAAAATGTGGGAAGGGTCATAGCAAGAAGAGGGATTCCGTTGCAGAGTCGGTTAGAGGTGGTTTGGAGAGTAAGGGAAGGGTGAAGTTTGATGCATTCTGAACGAGCTAGGATACACGCGAATTCAGAATATAACGTCATCATCACGTCACTGATTCTCGCGAGCATGCCTGTTGTCAAACCATGATGGTTTGAATTGAACCACATTTCAGGCAAAGGGATCGTATACCACAGAGACTTCGAGGGTTGCATACAACCACAAAGCTCGAAGTTGGGGAGGGGAGAAGCGATTAAAGGGTAAACAAAAAGAGTTTCTGTAGGAGAAACAGTTCGCGGCTAGACGCCGTTGAGGCCCCAATGCCGCCCAAGGACGCGAAAGCAGCCAAGGGAAAAGATGCCAAGGCTGCTAAGGTAACAAGAATCTCCATGAAAATCTGATAATGACGCGATCGATAAAAGGGAGCCAAGGGAGGAGCAGCTCCTCCACCCTCCGACAAACCCAAAGGACCGAAGCTGCCCATACCACTCGACGGTCCGCCACTCGAGCCCGTGAAGGTTTCCCGAAGCTAGCTCTCAATGATTTGGCTTCTGACTCTGTGTCCTGAAGGTCATTCCTCCACCTTATGACCCTAGAGTGAGATGTCTCCGCTCCTTCATCATGCGGTTTGACCCTCCCTTATCACCCAGGTTCATGCCCCACCGGTTTACTTCGGTTCATTCTGGGACTATCCAGGTGACCTTTGTTTCTTGTCCTCAAATTTTTAACAATGATAGGGAGGAGACCTCAAGTTCGTCCGTCTGAACCTCCTATGTGTCGACCGGGAGGAGGCATACAAGGTTTCTTCAGATGGTGGAGAGGAAAGCAACTGAGTGGGAAGCAGCAGGTGGAGGCGCGGCTCCAGCCAAAGGAGACAAGGGGAAAGCGGCGAAGGTACTATTTTAACTTTGAAGTGAAATCACTGAACTATGCCTCGGCATGTGGGGTTGCAGGGCAAAGATGCGAAAGGGGCAGCGGCCAAAAAGAAGAAGTGAACAAGCAATTCCTACACAACATTCGCGATGGCAGAAAAACAACAGGAACAAAACAAAAGAGTCCGAAAAACACATAATCCGTTGTTACTACAAAATCGTAAATATTTCGAAAACAATGTCATTGCAGGAATTCAACACAGCATGAGTCCATCAACGCCAACGCTGTTGGAAAAGTTCGAGTCCTAACGACATCAAACCATACTAGAAATCAATCTGCAAGCATGAGTCAGTATTGACAAGTGTGTGCTCGGGACGCATGCGATCGAAGGACGTAAAAAACACAAAATAAACTCACAAATGTTTCCGATGTGAATGATATGCAACGATTTCTTTGACTTCTTGGCCTGAGCTTGTCTGGTCAGGTTGCAGCTTGCCTGCACATCTTGTTATTGCGGCACATTCAGAGGCATCGCAGTCAGAACCTGGTACTTGCAAGCCTTCAAAGCCTCGTGCTCGTATGAGCTCTTCTCCTACAGAAGGTTAGCATCGTTAGTCAAAGCAATGCGGCACCAACCATGTCTGAATCTCCCCAAAGCATTTCAGTCTGGAAAGTCTTGACTGCGAGCTCAAACTGCAACCACGTTTCAGTAAAGAGCCAGGAGTGTCAAATGAATGAATGACAGGTGTACAAAATGATTCAATAATGAAAATAATCGTGTATCATGACATCCAGCCAGGGGAGACATGGAAGAGAAATCAACCAGATGATACGTAAGAAAATAAAGGAATTCACCAGCAAAGCGATTAAGAACCCTACTCTCGTATAAAGAAATGATGTGGCGGTGCTACTGAGTAGGACATGCAGGACGAAAGGAACAAGCAAGCAAGATTTGAGACGATCAGACAGTGCCCAACAACAAAACGATTCGTGGAAGTTGGCATACAAGCGAATCGCTGCCAGAAATCAAGGCAACCACGACAATGACTATTTTCGAAGTAATTGTTTGATATAATCAGTTGGGAATCGAAACTATGTGTAGATCGAGGATGAGAAGGAACAGAAGGAACAAAAAAGAATCAAGTAATCCAAGGCTTCCTGAAGGAACCAGGTAGGTGTGCTGAGGAGTATGTTGCACCAAACAGCCTTGCAGCTGCATAGACTTTTCGGACACTTACATCGCATTGCAAAGAGGACGATATGAGTACGGACAAGAGGGTCGAAATAAATGATAAGCATGAGCGTGAACAACAAAAGTGGATTTCTGACGATGAGGTGAAGATTCAAGGAATGGAAAACAAAAGAACAGAGAAGGAGGGCAAAAAGATGTACGAGTTATCCATTTGTAACAAAGTGAGGAGAATGATGATTGCCATAGAAGGGGGTAGTGCAAAGCATAGCCACAACCATCACTGCCGCCGCTTCGCTTACTCACCATTTTCCTGTTCTAAATCCGGCGTGAGGACTGAACGGGGAAAAAAAAGTACTTATAATAACAGTGCATCAAAATTATATATAATTTGGGTATTTATATATAATTTTGAAGTTTATGTCCATGGAGTTGAACCGTTGTTTGTTTCTTCATCAATTATAAATTTTATGATATTTATATATAATGCTATCCTGAAAATTATATGCAAAGAACCCGATTCAATCTCTCTCACCACCCCTCGTCCGCTAATCTTCTACCCCCCTGTTTACTAACGAAAGGTACCCTCCCGGAAATCCTCACACAGGTAAGTACCCCCCCCCTTTTACTTTTTACTACCCGGGTCCTTCTCTGCATGTTATCACATGCATGAACATGTACCCCTTCCTTGGATCAGAGATACTCTCCTCCCTACATGGTACCCACCCCACGTATGGAGAGAAAACCGGAGTCTAATTGACCCCTTCAAGTTAGATTGGACCCCCACCTTCCTGCCCACCCTACCACCGTTTTTCAATTTCTGCAACAAGACTGCAACTCCTCCTTGCGTCCCTACTACCCCTACCTCCTCATGATCATGACCCACCCGCCATTGATAGGACTCTTAGACCTTCATTTCCCATGAATTCGAACCCCACCCCATATGCGATATTGACCCCTACCCCCTCAATTCAGAGACCCCAACCCCAACACTACTCTCTCCAGCCACCTTGCCTCCCCTTCAATCCCCGCCATGGCAGCGCGTGATAAGAAAACGATGAAGAGAGAAGGATGCAGAGAGAAGCGGTGAAGGTGCTGGGCAAGGAGCTGATCCGAATCTTGAGCTAGAGACGATGCCTATGCAACAACAAGATGATGATCATCAAGTCAAGGAGGAACAGGGCCGATGATAGTTGTAGACAAGGAGGAACAGGGCCGATGATAGTTGTAGACGATCCCTAGTGGAAATGATGTTTTGCATGCTCGGGGAAGTTTGCACCATTTACACACAAAAGTATGAGAAATGAAATTGCTCAAGTAGATAGACAAATTGTCCACGCAGACTGAGTGAAGAGGAGCCATGGGGCAGTGTATGCAAAAAAAGCCTTAAACGGGAAAACTCAGACAGGCAGATTGTTGTAAATCCAGGAGTTGCCAACATTGTTATGTTTTATTCCTTGAGATAATTTTATGGAGTGGAGGGACAGCCATTCATAGAGTGAGTTAGAGTTCAGTGATCACGTGCAATTAACTTCATCACATGGAAGCCGTGTCGTTATAACAACTTGTACAAATGCTTCTCTCATTGATTCGTGTTCCTGCAGATGTGTAGCTCGGGATGCAAGCGGAGTATATTTTACTTCGTAATGCTTGCAATGTTCCATCCTCCCATTGCAAGCGGGGACCGTGTTGTCCGAGATTGGAAGCTGCAACCGGCGTTCTTGATGCCCCCACCTCTGCTGAGGCAGGGAGGTGCCTTACGAGGAGCAAGTCTTCTCAGTTACATCCAAACCTCGAAGCTTGTCATGTCAGGCGAAGTGAATATGGGCTCGCAAATGTCGCAAAGCAAGTTCGACGGTCTGCGTGGAAAACAATCAATAGAGACGCAGATGTCGCCAAGGGCAGGTGAGACAGTTAACAAAGGCGCGGAAGACAACGAAGAGTCAATGACCATGCTGACCAAGATTGATAGAGGGCCTAGAAAGGAGGAAAAGGTGAAAGTCTTTGGTGCCAGATTGGACAGCAAAGTTGCTAGCCGGGGCGAGGGGCTGCAAGTTTATGAGGAAGATAGAGTTCCAGATTGGGTTATGGAGCAGATACTGATGGAATGCAACGGAGACCTCAAAAAGGCAAAGAGCATGTTGCGTGTGCGCCAGGGCAGACTTGCAAAGGCAGAGGAATTCTTCAGATCAGGCGTGAAAAGCTTCGACAATGGTCAATACAGATTAGCAATCGAGTCCTTCACCAAAGCGATTCAAATATCCCCTGGTGGAGCAGCTAGCCGGGAAGGAGGGCAATACACAATTTGGTTGGGTCAAGCCCTTGATGCATCTGGACAGGTAACATGTCATAAGAGTTTTTTCGTCTGTCTGACTTGACGAAGCGAGGGAAAGCAGTCCAAACCCTCAGAGCATTGATGTCACATGAGGATGTGGACGTACGAAGGGTAGCGAAAGGGCTCGAATACATTTACACTGCCCCGCAGCTAGACCTGGGGGAGGAATATTTTCAATGGATTGATCTTGAGAAAATTGGTACGATGAAACTGACATGGCTGGGTCTGAGTTCTGACACGTTGAGCTAGATGTCATCAAAGGAGGAGGAAAAGCATTGCAATACTCGAAGCTCGAAAAGATGCCAGAAAAATATTCGTTGGAATGGTATATGCTACAGAAACCTAAGGTGAGGATGAATGCCACATTGCAACATTTTGTTTTGCCCTTTCAAGAGCTCATGTGTAATATCAGTCTATGCGACAACATGAGACTGGGAAAGACGTTCAAGTTGCGCTTGCAGGCACAGTAAGTCGTCTTATCTAACTCCCCTTGCTTGGACTAAACATGTTTGCAGTTCATCGTGTTTGCTGGGCTTTTTGCATATTCTCAAGCCATTCCACACTGAGCGAAAAGGCTTTATTGACTGTTGACCTTGAAATGTCACTTGTGAAATCATCAAGGACTTTGGATATATATGCTCAGGAAGTTTCTTCCTCTCTCCAGTCGTCGATTGTTGAACTGATCGAGATGCTGCCTAAGTTTTTGGACCGCCGCTCCAGTGCAATAGTTTTTCCCTACTTGGTACCAGCTTGTCGAACTCTTCATTGTACATTTTCATAAAACGAAAACTTACTACACATGAATGAAGTGGCAATCTCCACTATTGTAAAGAAACATACAGAAAGCTAATATAGGTATGGGGACACGAGCGTTTTTAACTGTCCTTTGCATCATTCATCGTATTTGTGGTGTCAGGTGCAAAAAGGTACACAGGTCCCTTGTATCCTGCGTTGACAGACTGCCATAGAAAAGTGAGGAGGGAGGAATGTGAATTAGACAAATACCTGCATGTGTCGCTGTATCTGCTGCAGGGTGCACCACCAGCACAGGACCGAGCAAACAACATCCTCCACGATTTCAGGGCAGAATGTTGAGTTCTGAATGTTGTGTGGAGGCTGATGGAACTTGTTGCGGAGCATCGCAAGCTGCAAGGCGCAATGAGGCCACGAAACTATTGAGCTGTGTCAGGGTACCTGTATGCACAAGAGGGGCGTGCAGAGGAACTCTCCAACAAGAGGAACGACTATGCCACAGAGAGGCTCTTGGATGATGCCTTCATGGCCATCAACGACTGTATATGCTTGCCCTTGTGACAATCCATTGACGACTGGAATTGTCGTGACAATGCAGAGTCTGGGACAAACCACCATCACACATTCGAAAGCAAGGCAGAGACTGGCAAACCTGCAGTCACTGAAGCAATCGCAGAGACCTGAAGACCATTGCCCTGCAAACAAGACATCACCAAACGCTCAGGCCTCGCCCCTCGTGATGATGTGCACATTCGCACAATTCCTCCCACAGTCCTAGATCCTCTGCAAGGACTCAGCTGTGATATCATCGCTCACTTATCTCCCATACTCTCCTTCCGACACCCTGCCTCCTCTCCTCTTCTTCTCTCATCTCAGCATCTTCTCCTCCTCTCCCCACCTTCTTCGCCGGGCCCAGTCATCTTCTCTTTGATCTGTTCGTATGTCGCCTGCATCGTGACTCTTCGTTCGCTCCACCCCTACCCTTGACCAGAGTCTGGTATTCATGTTACTACCCCACCACATGACAAGAAGTACCCCTGCTTGTCTCCATCCATCACCCCCTTTGACTACCCCCTCCTGTTATTAACTAAACACCACCCCAGGTTAGCCTTCTTTGCTAGGGCACTACCCCTGTCTCCCTGAAGCTACAATTTCACCATAAAATAAACTACAAAAACCTTAATTTCTCAATAAAACTGCGTCCAGAGTCAAAATTAAACTGCAATATCAATTAAAATGCAATATATTTGTACCAGCGTTATTGTGTGACAATAAACACATTTGCTACACGTGGGAGGGGCAGGCTTGCTTGAACAATAGAAGTTGTGATAGAATATAAATGACCATATTGTCATGGTTGAAAATGTTTTGCTATTATTTCAAATAGTCATCATTGAGTTTAATTCTTCGATGAAAAAACGCAAATCTCCAAACATAAAATTTCCATAGTTTAATGCCAATTTGAAGACTTTTTTTGGCTGAAGTATCGTTACACGCCGTTACGTCCTTAATTTGCCATGCGGGGGCCTCTTGCTCCCGCCAAGCCCTCTCCTTCACTTCGTCGCCTCCTGATCCTCCTGCTCCTCCTGCTCATCCTGCTCGTCCTGATCCTCCTGCTCCTCTTGCTCCTCCTGCTCCTCCTGCTCCTCCTGCTCCTCCTGCTCCTCCTGCTCCTCCTGCTCCTCCTGCTCCTCCTGCTCCTCCTGCTCCTCCTGCTCCTCCTCCTGCTCCTCCTCCTGCTCCTCCTGCTCCTCCTGCTCCTCCTGCTCCTCCTGCTCCTCCGGCTCCTCTGGCTCCTCCTGCTCCTACGGCTCTCTCTTCTACCCTTCTTGCTCAATGCAATAATGCTCATCATCCTCTTACCCCTGCCGTTTCTGCTCCCCTTTGTGCTGGTCTACCTGCCGATCCTCCTGATCTCGTTTCCACTTTGTTGCTGATTCACATTGCCATCATCACGCCTTGACTTTCTTTCTCTTCTTATTCTATTCATCTTCATTTTCGAGCTGCTCGACTCTCTACTCTCTACTCGTTCGAACCTGATGCTGTCCACTCTTTCTTACTGCAAAGTTGTTTGTTTGATAGCTACTAAACTAGCTCTCACAGATGGTCGTCTGAGCTCTTGGCAGTCAAGCAAGAGACACTCTGAAAGATGCTCCTCGATTCCTTGAACGCCTACAACCGTCAATGAAGACTCCAGCGCTTTGATTCGAAGTTTGATTCGAGAAAGCGCGATGAGCAAGCTTTGGGTGAGGACTACATTCTTGCTTCCTCTCTTGCTTGCTGTTCGTGCTGGACTGCATGATGTTCCGAAGATGGTGGATGATCAGCCCAGCATGGCGAAAAATCGTGGAATGTCCCATGCATCATCGGGCTATGAGCCAGCTCGATCCGGAGCCTGTACAGAAGCCTACACGGAGCGAGTCTGCTTGCGAAGAAGCGGGTGTGCATGGTGCATGGTAAAGCATAATGAGGATGCGGATGGTGACGGAGTCAGAGCCGTCTCCTCCATCCGACGAAAATCAAAGTCGACAAGCCTGCGCGGAAAACGAGGACAGCAGTTGGAATGCGGAAAGTGGTCAGCATGCGTGGGCCCTCCAGGGCTGTGCGAGCTACGACGAGATAGGAAGAGCTGCGAGAAGGATTCAGAAGTCGACGTGCCTTGCGCTTGGTGCGCGAGCGAAGATCGCTGTGTCACATATACATCGAACGCTTCAGGTAAATGTTGGTAAGGAGCTGCCATAGGAGCTGGGGTAGAAGTTGGAGCAGGAGCAGAACGGAGGACTGATGATCAAGGAAAGATCAAGACTATTTTTGAGAATTTTGTTTTAGGACATCTTGTTGCCCAGTGTGTGGGATGCGATGGTAAGTTTAACAGTGGAATGAAGACAGACGTTTGTGGGGTTTGTGGAGGGACCAACAGCACTTGTTTTGCTTTCACTCGTCAGGTAGTCATTGACCTTTGATCTTGGAGTTATGCCTGTAAACGTTTGTTTCTTGTCTCCTCTTGTCAGGAACAAATTGGGATCTTGTTGGCGTTAAGTGGGAACATCCTTATTTCAGTGAGCTGTTTCAAACGTTTTGTCCTGTCCTCACGGTTGCCACAGGTCAGTCTCAATACTCAGAAATATGCGCACAATCAGAACGAGCTTCTGTCAGGAGGGAAGCTGGTAATGCTCGATCATCAATCAACTTATCCTTTTTGGCCTCTCCTTCCCTCTTCTTCCCCTCCCGTTGTCTTCCCTTCCGTGCTCTGCTCCTCCTGCACCCTGTCTAGTGTTGTTTGACTTGGTGCAGCCCTACATTCGCCTTAAGCTCTGGTGGGTCGGCATGGTCCTCATGGCCATGGGCGAGACTGGAAACTTCCTCGCCTATGCTTACGCGCCGGCCACAGTCGTCGCTCCTCTTGGAGCAGGTGAATGAGAGGCGGCAAGGGAAAGCTTTGAAAACATCTGAAACCTTGCATAGTGTCGGTTATCTCCAACTCTATCCTTGCGCACTACATCCTTCGAGAACATATCGGTATGTCCTGCCCAGCTCCTGCCCCTTCAATTTCCTGCTCTCCCTTGCTGCGTCCCTTATTTCCAACATCCCAGGCCCTCGCAATTTGTTTGGGGTGGCCATGGCGATTTTAGGGTCCGTGCTTATCGTCCTTTATGCTCCCTCCTCGGACAAACAGCTCACCATGGAGGTATTTCCTCCTTCTACCTGCTGCTCAGAGCTCACTTTCTCGTTCTCTTCCTCCACCATCACTGTCCCCTTCCCGTTCCTCTTCACTTTCCACTCCTCCTCTCTACTCCTTCTTCCTCCTCCATCCTTGGCATCGTCCTGTCACTTCCGTCCTCTCCTCCAGGTCCTCATCGAGTACATGAGCGACAGTGGCTTTGCCTTCTTTGTTATTTCCATCTCCATCGCCATCTTGATCCTCTTCCTACTTCCGGACAACATCAAGAAGTACGGCCAGTTACCCTCCTTACTCCCTTCCTCTTTCTTCCTCTCCTTGCTTCCTCCATATTCTTTTTTCTTTTCTGATCCATCCGCCCGACCACATTCTTTTCCTGACTTGCTTTTTGCGACATTTTCTTGCTCCTTTCCTCTCCTTTTCTACTTCTCTCTGACAAGATCTTTAGGCGATATGTCGTCATCTACACTCTTATCTGTTCTCTCACGGTCTGTTCGACCTTCTCCCATTCATTTCTCCTCCACCTCCTCTTTCTCTCCTCCTTCCTCCCCGTCGTCCTTCCGCCCTTCTTCTTCTCGCTTCATCTCCTCCCGCGCATGTTGATCGTTCTCTTCAGGGGAGTTTGACTGTCATGTGCGTCAAAGGAGTCTCGACGGCGCTTGTCCTCACCTTGCAGGGGAACAACCAGGTCCTGCCCCTTCGCCCTCACCCCCGCCATCCTCTTCCCTTCTCGTCCTCTTCGTCCTCTTCTCTGTCTCTCTCCTTCTGCGCGCTCCTCGCAGTCCTCTTCTTTTCATCAGCGCTTGTCTCACTCGCTGCAGTTCTACAATGTCCTTCCTTGGATCCTCGTTGCCGTTACCGTGGGCACACTCATTGTTCAGGTGAGGACAAGTAGGAGGATCGAGATGGCAGAGAAAGCGAGAGAAGAAAGGAGCAGGAGCAGAGGAGAAAGAGAGAGGGGGGGGGGGAGGCAGAGGGTTGACAGCAGGAAGAACAACAACAGCATTCACACTTGGTACAGCTCAAGTACTTGAATCTTGCCATGATGCATTTTGGAGCATCGGAGGTGATATATGCTTGTCCCCTCCATTTCCCACCTTCTTTTCCCCCTCCTCCCCACCTTCTCCTCCCCACCTTCTCCTCCCCACCTTCTCCTCCCCACCTTCTCCTCCCCACCTTCTCCTCCCCACCTTCTCCTCCCCACCTTCTCCTCCCCACCTTCTCCTCCCCACCTTCTCCTCCCCACCGTTTCTCTGCTGATTGCCACCCATCCCTCAGGTCGTCCCAGTCTACTACGTGCTCTTTACCTTCTGCTCCATCATGGCTGGGATCGTCCTGTACAAGGAGTACCACCAGGTCTCTCCTCCGTCCTCCCTCCTAAGACTGCTCTCCTCTTCCTCCCTCTATCTTCTTTCCTGCTCACCTCCTCCTTTCTCTTCTTCCTAACTTATCCTGCTCCTTTTCCCCCCTCCCTCCTACTCCTCCTCTCGCTCATGTTTCTTGCAGCATTGTCCTCCTACCAACCCAGACTGCCACTACACGCTCTTCTTTGTCTCCGGCTGTCTCGTCACTTTCTCTGGCGTCTACCTCATCACGTTTGCCAAGCGCTCCAAGACAAGTTTGTTTCTCCTCCTCCTCCTCCTCCTCCTCCTCCATCCATCCATCCATCCATCCATCCATCCATCCATCCATCCATCCATCCATCCATCCGCCTCCTCCCTCCCTCCCTCCGCTTCCTTCTCCTCCTTTGCTCCTCTTGGCCGCCTCTCCCTTCCTCTCTGACTTCTTGTGTGCCTATCAGACTACAGGGATGAACTCGACGACCTTGCTGATGAGATGCTAGACGGTGAGGCTCCAAAGCTCCATCCCCTTCCGCCCCTCTCACCTTCTCGCTTCAGCATTTTCCTTTCCTCGTTTCTCTCCCGCCCGTCTTGTCTTCTCGCTCCAGCTGCTTCAACTGCCCCCACTATCTCTCTCCTCTCCTCTCTTTCCCCTCCCCTTCCTCCCTCCCCACTCTCTGCTCTTTGTCTTAAACTGACCGGGGGCAAGGGCGCTTCCTCCATCGTGACGCGGGGGGGCGATCGCGGTCGGACTGGACGGCATACGGACGGGGACGAGCAGCTACGGTGGAGGTGGAGACTGAGGGCCTGCTGGGAGGAACCGTGATGCGCGTGAAGAACAGCCCTCCCTCATCTCCCGACGTGAGAACAGCTCTCTTGTGACCTATCCATCATCATCATCATCATCTCCATCTCTATCTCCATCATTATCTCCATCATCACCATCACCATCACCATCATCGTGATCGTCATCATCATCCTCATCATGCTCCTCCTGCTTGTCCTCTTCGCGTTGCCTCTTCTCTCCTCTCACTCGCCTTGTGCAGGCTCAGGGTGTGGAACTGAGCTCGGTGGCTGCTCAGCTTCGTTAGCTTGTGCTTCCTGCGTTTGAAAGAGAGGAGGGAGGAGAGGGAGGAAGCCAACGAAGAAAGAGGAGGGAAGAGGGGAGGGAGGAAAACGACGCAGGAATCAAGAATTGGAAGGAGGAGGAGGAGGAAGAGGAAAGGAGAAAGAGGAAGATCCGTTTTTTCTTCATCTTGATTCATTATTATTACAACCTAACATGTCCCATCCTCCTTGTCTTCTCTCCTATACCACCATGCAGCTCTCGTATGTAGGGATCATGTACTTGATGTTGATGTAAGCGTCCGGTCCTCCGTGCGTCTCCAACATCTCCAGCGTCTCATTGATCAGCTCCCCGACCTGAACCCTCGTCAGTGCCCCCTTCTCCTCTCCTTACTTTTCTCCCCTTATTTCCTCCTCTCCTCCTCTCCTCTCCTCTCCTCCTCTCCTCCTCTCCTCCTCTCCTCTCCTCCGCACGCACTGACGTTGGTTCTTTTCCTCTGCGAGTAGTCGATGGTATCGCCAGAGTTCTTATTCTTCGACTTGAGCAGGTTGAACACAGGCAGCAGCTGCACCATCCTCGTCAGCCCCTCCTCCGCTTCCCTCCGCTGATTCCCCCCCTCCCCCTCCCCCCTCCCCCTCCCCCCTCCTCTCCCTCTCCTCCTCTCCCTCTCCCTTGTCTCCCTTCCTCGTCTCCCTCCCTCTCCCTCTTCGGTTCTACTTGCTGGAAGGCC